AAAGAAATGATCCCCTTTCATCTCACCAAGGCAGTGCCAAAAGAGACAGCTCACAGGAGCCTCAAATCTTAGGCTTGGAAAGGACTTAGACTCAGCCAAGTGATCTCCCAGTCTCTCCTTGGAGTCCTTCAGTAATGGGGAACTCAGTACCTCCCAACCAGGTCATTCATTTGGAAAGTTCAGTTTTTTATTAAGTTAAGAAAAACCTGCATCCCTGTAATCAATCCTCTAATCAGTCAGCCAGATGTATATTAACACCTACTACGTGGCAAGCACTTTATCTCTCCCTTTGGTCCTAGGTATCCTTTCTGAAGCCACATCAAATCTAATCCCTTTACCTGTGACAGTCCTTCAGATGTGTGAGGACAGCTACCATTGCCTCCTCTGTCTCTCTCTCTCTTTTCGTGAAATGCCACCCACTCATTGATTTGTGGAATTTAGAGCTGGCAGGGCCCAATTCCCTTTGCTTAAAGAAGAAACCCAGGCCTAGGGAAGGAGGTTCACTGACTTGCCCAGGGTCATACAGGCTGTAGAGCTGGAAATCAAACCGAGTTCCTGATTCTACATTCAGGGCTCCTTCTACCACAAGACCCCCCCTCCTTTCATCTATTCCTCACAGTGTGAGGTTTCCAGGCCCCTCACCCTCCCTGTCTGCCAGTGTCCTTCCTAAATGTGGATCCTAGAAGTGAATATGATAGTCTAGGTTTGATCTGATCAGGACCATGGAGAGTTGCTTCTATTCTTGGCATGATTATTTTATTCAGCCTTGTGATTTCCCTGGTGTGGGGGCACTCCAGCTTGGAGAGGCCTGCTGCTGATGTCAATCAGCCAGGGATTAGGGAGTTGCCTCAGACACAGAGGGGTTAAAAAATTTTCTTATAGACAAGCCAGAAGGTAGGACTTGGACCCAGGTCTTCCTAACTCCCAGACTGACCCTCTATTGTCTGTCCCAGGCTCTATCTGTTGCATGTGTTAATGCAACCTAGCTAAGGCAGCTACAGGCCAGACATAGAACACTAGACAAACAGACACAAGTGAACACACACACACACACAGAAACACAAACACACCCTTCCCCTGTTCACCAGGCAAGGCAGAGAGGGGTCAGAACTCCAACTTTTTCACAGGGGCTAGAGATCCTGCTCCTTTTCCCTCAGCTCTCCCCTTCTGAAGCCCTCAAGGCTGAGCAACACTACCTCTCCTTCCAGCTGCCCCCACTTAGGGATGCTGCCTCCCTAACAGAAGGGGGAAGGGTCCCAGGGCAGCTGCTGCTCTCCTGCCTCCCTCCCTCACTGGTAAAGGCCTAGAAGAGAGATGAGGCAGAAGCCAGTATCAGGGTCTCCACCAGGTCACAGGGAGTATGTTGAGGTTCTGAGGCAGAGGGAAAGTGTGGTAGGAGGAGAGAGAAAGGAAAGGAGGGAACTGTCTCTGCTGGACTGGGCTCTCCAACTTCCCTTCTCTCTAGTACAAAGCCACCCATTCTTACACACCCTCCTATACACTCACACACACACACACACACACACACACACACATACACACACTCACAGTGTAAGAGCTATATATGTAGCTACACCCTATGCCCTCTAGGAGACCTCACTCTCTTGATCTGCCATGCAGCTGAAGACTTGGTTCCTGATCTCTGGAAACTTGATCTCTGATCGGTTTACCCTGACACCAAAGGAGGCATAGGAGAATTAACACTTGTTCAGCGCTCCTAATACCTTTAAAGATCTTTCATATACCTGTTCTCCCTCAATTTCATCTTATTATAATATGGGAACTGCCTATTTGACAATCTACTCCCACCTCCACCCAAAGTATCAGCTTTCTTGACAAGCACACAGGCTGACATGAAAAGTAAATGAATGAACAAGTGAATGAAGAATGAAAAGCACTGTGGTTTTGACTGCTTACTTATACCAAGAGCCATGCTTGGCAACATGCTGGTTTAGGGGTGATGAGAAGTTAATAGTAAAGGATGACCCATGTTGTGGGCCTGTGAGTGAGAGGATGGTTGTACCTTCAGCAGGTATAAGGAATTTTGAAAGGAAAGAATGTTGAGGGAGAGAGATATAAAGAGTTCTGTTTGGACATGCTGAATTTAAGATGCTACAGGACATCCAGTTTTATACGTCCAATGGGCAAGTTTAGATTCAAGACTGGAGGCCAGCAGAGAGGTTTGGATTGGACAAGAAGATATGAGAATCATCTCAATAGAGATGATCATTGACTCCATGGGAACTGATGAGAGCACCAAGTGAAATAGTATTGAGATAGAAGACAAGCAGCTCAGGATGAAGCCCAGTGGGACTCATGGGTACCAGGCATGACCTGGGTGAAGATCCGATACTGAGATGGCGTGGCCATGGTGTGGTGCTCTGGGCAGGTGCTGTCCTTTACCTTTCTTTGTATTTCCAGTTCTTACTACAGTGTCTGGCACACAATAGGCACTTATTAAATGTTTGTTGACTGATTAAAAGGAGATCCAGGAGAGAATAATGTCACAAAAACTCAGAGAGACAGAAGTATGAAGAGAAGGGTGAACAACAGTGTTAAGGGCTGGAAAGTGATCTGGAGAGGTGAGGACTGAGAAAAGGCCATTGGATTTGGCATCTAGAGATAGTTAGCAACATTAATGAGAGAGTTTCAGTTGAATGATGAGGGCAGAAGGTCAACTGTAAAGAGTTAAGAAGAGAGAGGAAAGCAAATAGAGGTGACTATTGTAAATGCTCTTGAAGGAATTTACCACAAAGGGAGGTGATATATGGGATGATAATTAGAGAGGATGGATGGATCAGGGAGAGACTTTTTAAGGATGGGGGAGACATAGACATGTTTGTCGGCAGGGGAACATCCAGCACAGGGATATTGAAGTGAGAATGGTATGATAGAGGCAGTCTGCTGGAGGAAATGGGCTGGAAGGGGACCCCTTGTGCAGGTAGAGAGGGCTTTGGCTCAATAAGGAGTAAGCATATCTCTGTGTGAGACAGGGCTGGGGGAGGAGACAGGGGCACAAGGCATCTGAGTGATGTGAGAGGAAGTGGAGGGGTGAAGAAGGAGCTCTAGGGGAATGACCTCAATATTTTCAGTAAGATATGAGGCAAGGTTCTCAGCTGAGAGGGTGGGTGGGTGTGAGAAGGAGCCATTGGAGGTCTGAGGAGGGGCAACAATTTTCTGAAGAGCCATGGTAGTGAGTGGGATAGTGAGTTAATTAGAGAAGTATAAAAAGATTGCCTTGGGGCCCCAGGAGTAGCTTTGTCACCTTTTGGGGGAAACTAAATGCTGTTTTCCTAGGGAAGGAAGAGGCATGGATGGAACCCATGTTGAGGAGAAAGACTGGTACACATTAGTCCCATCACACAGGACTTGGAATTGAAATTTAAAGGTACCTCGGGGAATTTGGCACTAGCCCTTTACCAATTCACTGTCAATGGTTTTGAGATTGGGAAAAAGAAATGAAATAACATTTTGGGTCATGCCTTTCGTTATTCTGATAACAGAGCAAAGCAGCTGTAGGAAAAATGAGGTTTTCTGGGAAGTGATCTCCCTGGACCTAGATTTTGTAGTGCATCTCTCTTGTTTTCCATAATGATGATACAGCATACATTGTTGTCTGTGGGAAAGACAAATGACCAGTGTGGATCTTGGTGTATGTGACCAAGGTACACATAATGTTTTTGTAGAATTACAGTATGGCTGTGCTTGACTGGATCATTTTTTAGTTGTGTCTGATTCTTTCTGACCCCATTTGGGGTTTTTTTTTTTTGCAAAGATACTGCAATAGTTTCTCATGTCCTTCTGTGGCTCATTTGATAAATGAGGAACTCAGGCAATGAGGGTTAGGTGACTTGCCCAGGGTCACACAGCTACTAAGTGTCTGAGGCCACATTTATACTCAGGAAGTCGAGACTTCTTGACTCCAGGCCCATTGTTCTATCCATTGCCTCACCTAGCTGCTCCTGGTGGTGCTCCCCCTGGGCTCCCTCTGATGCATAGGTGAGTATTACCAGATTAGGTGGTTTACTGAGAGAATATCTGGGAGAGCTTTCCAGTGTCTTTGGTGCTGAAGTGATGTTTTTTATGTCTGTTGTTGTTATCTCATTTAACGTAGCTGTTGTGTAAATCCTTGAAAACTCGTTTCGGCAAATGGTCAGATTGGGATAAGGACTTCTCACCTTAGAGAGACAGTAGGATGTACACAGGCATTTCATGAAACAATTCAATCAGGCCAATAGGTGGATGCTGAAGTATCATGAGGTAAAATTAGACAGTTTTTTTGGAAACGACTTTTTTTGACTTTTTGTTGTGAAGCGGTTGGGGTTAAGTGACTTGCAGAGGTCACAGAGCTAATGTCTAGTGTCTGAGGGTGGATTTGACTCAAGGCTGGAGCTCTATCCACTGCCCCTTTCCTCCTGTGCTCTGGGGGTTGTCAGGAATCCAAGTCCCATTCAGGGGCTGGTGATCTGCTGCTGCTGCTTCAGCTACTGGGCTGTTCCCTTAAGTGGAGCCCAGGACACCCTGCCCCTGCCATCCCTGCCCTTCCCCTCCAGGTTGTCTCTAAAGAGGCTGACCCGTGACAGCCCCAAGCTTAGCTCAGCCGTCCCACCCCATCCGCCCAGCAGCTGCCCCCAGGAAAGTGGGACCTGGTTCAGTCCTGGGCCCTCCTCCAAGCACTGTGGCCCCCTCCCCTCCCCAGGCTGGGTGATGGGAGTTGAGAGAAAGGACTGGGGGGGGTGCTCTTCACTCCTCTGGGCGTGACATCAGAGAGCCCCGCCCTCTTTCCCTCCCTCCTCCCTCTGCTCTGAGTGGCTACTCCACTGCGCCACTGTGACGTCACTGTACCCGCCCCCCTACCCTTGGCCAAGGTCAGTGCTTTTTGTCTCTGGAGGAGGAGGAGGGAGTTCCCTTTTCCCCTGAATCTCGGGGGGCCAGCGGGAGATCTGCCCGCCCCCAACCCCCTGCCCTTCTCTGCTCCCACCACACCTCCTTCCTCCTCACCCCCACCGCCACGTCACCTGAGAGATCCCAGAAATTCCTGCACTTTCCTGCGTGGCTGTGTGTGAGGTAGGCGTCCCCTCCCCCTCCTGCCAAGGCCCCTCCTGCCCCTCTGCATTCCCCCCTTATATTCTCTTCTGCCCTCTCTTCTGTCTTCTCCTGAACTCCCCCCCCCCCACCAATTGGCTTGTCTTAGTGCCGAGGGGCATCTGTGTGTGCATGGGTGGGGGGCGGTCATGGGAGTATTAATACCCTTGTTTGTGGGAGTGTTGTGTGTGTATGTCAGTATGTACTTATGTGTGTGTGTGTACTCGTGTGTACCTGCTCCCCCAGGGCTGTTCCTGCCTGGGGCTTCCTGCCTGCCCAGACCTTGGTCTGGAAGTCTGGGGCTTGGGGGGTGGGGTGGAGGCCAGCAGGGAGAAGCCTTTGAGGACACTCCCTCCATCCCCTCCCCAGGTGGACCTTTCCATCCTTTCTTCCTCCCTTCCTCTCATCCTTGGCCTGGCCTCAGGGCTGGGGAGAGGGGAGACAGTCTAGAAACTCTTCCCCTCCCCTTCTCCCTCTGGTGTCATTAGATTTAATTGTGTATTTGTTTTTGTTCTGGTTTCAACCAGCACCTGGTGAAAGGGGCCTTTCCATGTACCTCATCGTGGAACAGAAAGAGGGGACTGTCCCTGAACCTGCGGATCTCTATGATTTACAGACTGAAAGAAAAGAGTTGTTTTAATGTGCACTTCTCTCATTATGGGGGATTTGGAGCATTTTGTCATAGGGCTATTGGTAGCTTGGATTTCTTCCTTGGAAAAGGCCCTTTTCCTTTGCCCTATTGGAGAATGGCTCTTAATGTTGGAAGTTAGAATCAGTTAGAACAATTGTTTTCATAATCATTGATTTGTAGTATAGTTTAACATCTGCTACTGATTGTCATTAACCCAAACCCCTTTCTTTCCTCCTCCTGCCCTCCAGTATTACCCTAGAGATGCTTAGCCTTCTTAAAATTTTTTAGTGATGTTTTCTGTGTTTCACATCACCAAGGTATCCCATGTATCCCTCCGTCTCCCCATCCTGGAGAGCCATGCCATGTAACAAATTGTATTTTTGTTTTAGGGAGGGAAAAAAATTGAGCACTACTGATTGATGCCTGTGGAAAAGGTGTGCAATGTGTAACACCTGTGGACCTCTCACGTCCTGAAGAGGGTAGGGTGATTGTGTCTTCTCATGTTTCCTTTTCAGTCCCACTTGATCTTTAACATTTTGTTACAGGTACTTTTAATTTTTTGTGTGTCATTATTTCCATCTCAATTATTGTAGTTACTGTGTGTGTGTATGTATGATGAATAAATTTATGTGCATATATATGTACGCACACGTATATGTGCATACACACACATATATGTACATATATATTCTGTTTTCTTGGCTCTGCTTAATTCACTTTGAATCAACTCACAAAGATCTTTCCACTTCTCTGTACTCATCACATACATCATTTCTTACTGCATGGTAGCAGTATTCCATGACATTCGTGTTCCATGCCTTGTTTAGCCATTGCCCAGTTGATGAACATCTACTCTGCTTCCAATTCATAGCTGTCACAAAAAGCCCTGTTATAAGTATTTTGGAGTATATGGGGAAGTTTTTCTTATTAATGGATTCCTTGGGATGTAATGGAATCCTTTTTTTTAAAAGACTGGACATATTTGTTACTTTCTTCACATAATCCCAAATTACTTTCCAAACGGATGTGTCATTTCACAGCTCCACCAAGAATGTATTAGTGTGTGTATATTTCCACAGCCTTATTTAGGTATCCACACCACATTTGTGCCATAAGAGGAATTTGATAGGACTCCTTCTTTACTTGTTGTTTCAAATAGTGTATATAGAATTGGGATAAAATGTTTTTTAAATGCTTGGTAGAATCACTTTCAGATCCATCTGGTCCTGGGGATTTTATCCTAGGGAAGTCTTTTATGCCTTGTTCAATGTCTTCTTTTAAGGTGGGGTCATTTAAGTATTCTATTTCCTCTTCCGTTAACATGGACAGTTTATATTTTTATAAATGTATATCCATTTCATGTAGATTGTCAGTTTTCCTGGCATGTGACTGGGCAAAATAACCCCTAAGCATGACTTTAGTTTCATCTTCTTTGATTATGCATTTGCCCTTTCATTTTTGAGATGATTAATTTGGTTTTCTTCTTTCTTTTTGTTAATCAAGCTAACTAATGCTTTATCTATTTTATTAGTATTTTCATAAAACCAGCACCTACCTGTATTTATTAGTTTGATTTCTTAAAAATTTTCTTAATCTCATCTTTGATTTAGGGATTTCAATTTTGATGTTTAATTGGATATTTTCTATTTGTTCTTTTTCTACTTTTTAAAATTTCATGCCCAATTCCTTGATCTGCCCCTTCTCTGTTTTATTGATGGAAGCATTTAGAGAGAGAAATTTCCCCTAAGGACTACTTTGGCTGCATCCCACAAATTGTGGCATGTTGCCTCATTGTTGTAATTCTGTTCCATGAAGTTATGGGTTGATTCTGTGATTTGTTTTTCAACCCAGTCATTCTTTAGGATTTCATGATTTAGTTTCCAATTAATTTTTTTTTAAAGGCAGTTGGGGTTAAGTGACTTGCCCAGGGTCACACAGCTAGTAAGTGTCAAGTGTTTGGTCTGAGGCCAGATTTGAACTCAGGTACTCCTGACTTCAGGGCTGGTGCTCTATCCACTGCGCCACCTAGCTGCCCCTCCAATTAATTTTTAATCTGTTCTTCCACATCTTGGTGATTTATATTGCGTTGTGGTGTGTAAAAGTTGCATTTAATATTTCTGTATTTGTCTATTTGTTTCTGAGGTTTTTATACACTGATATATGTTCATTTTTTGTGAAGGTGCCATGTACAGCTGAGAAAAGGTTATATTTCTGTTTGTTTCCATTCAGTTTTCTCCAGAATTCTGTCACGTCTAACTTTGCTAAAGTGCTTTTCCTAAACTTCTTTTTAATTTACTTTATACATAGATTTCCCTAATTCTGAGAGGGAAAACTTGAGGTCACCCTTTGTATAGTTTTACTATTTCCTTCCATAAGTCATTTAACTTTTCATTTTAAGAACCTGGATGCTCTGCCATTTGGTGCATATTTGGTAGGTATTGATATTATATAATGGTACCTTTTAGCAAGATATACTTTCCCTGCTTATCTCTTTGAATTAGGTCTGTTTTAGCTTTTGTTTTGTCTGAGATCATGATTTCTACCATTGCCTTTTATACTTCAGCTAAAGCCTAAGTGGAGAGGTGGGGGGGGGGGTTGGCAGGGAGTATATTGTCTGAAGCAAAGGCCTTTTCACACTTTTCACTTTGATGTTTTCAGAGATAATTTTGGGAGTTTGGAAGTTTTCTGTGGTCCAAAGTGATAGGATTTGGGTAGAGGTTTGGTCATTGCTTTCCCGCTCTATGCTGTACTTCTTCCCTAGGAAGAACCCCTGATCCCTTAGGACTGCAATTGATATTGCTATATGGAGTCACTGTTCCATTTTTTAAAAATGTATTTTATTTATATTTTTGGTGAGGCAATTGGGGTTAAGTGACTTGCCTAGAGTCACACAGCTAGTGAGTGTTATGTATCAGAGGTTGGATTTGAAGTCAGATCCTCCTGAGTCCAAGGCCAGTGCTCTATCCACTGGGCCACCTAGCTGCCCCTTCACTGCTCCTTTTTGACCAGAAGTGACCTTACCCCTCAGTACCCTTTTTCCATTGGGATTGCAAGTGATACTGTTCCTCAGAGTCTCTGCTCCCTCTTGTCAGAATATGCTCATTGCTGCCCTTGAATTGTGACCCAGGAGTCTGTATAGGCAGTGGAGTGTCCAAACAGCTTGTGTCTTGAGCTAGCCAAGAGTCTCTGTCATCTCTTTCTAACCAATTGCTAGGTCCCCTTATTGTCCCTGGCTTGAGAGCTCCCAAAGCTGCTGCTGCTTCTGACTATTAAAATTAACAACATAATTATAACATAGTAATAATAAAATATAATGAAAAGAGAAAATCATTCCAAGGTACAAATATTCCAAGTAAATGAATAATGATTTCATAGTAATGATTGACAGGTTCCTCTTAGGTCAACTAATTCCTCAATAATTAGTGACATAAGTTTATTTTTGTAACAGAAAAGAAGAACTAAAAAATTACAGTCATCTTAGGAAACTTGTTTTGAGCATAATTCAGTTGAACAAGGCAGGTCATCTCAGTGGTTTGCTTCTCCCAGGCTTTCTGAAGCCAAGTTCCTACCGTTGGCAACATTCAGCTGTTAAAGTGAGATTACCCCAGAAGTCTTTGCCCCACAGCTGAAGCAGTTTGAAACCAGAAAGCTTCCTTCCAAGGGGCCTAGAGTTTCAACTAAGACTGGCAAAGAGGAACTTCTGGTTTGTAGTTAGCATTCACCCCCGGCCCCCATACCCAATCCTGCACTTGCCAGAAAGGGAAACCCAACCTCAGAACATGACACCACTTAACTCATACGTAAACTCTAGCTGAAGAAAAATAAGGGAGCTTATCCCCTAAGTCTAAAGAACTGAATCTTTTGTCAACCTCCCTTTCTCACCTGCCAGAAGGGGGAACTTAGCCTTTGAAAAGAGTCTTCTTTTTTTTAATGTATTGTGATTTCTCAACAATGACTTCCATATGCTTTTGAGTTTAAAATTTTTCTCCCCCTCCCTCCCCACCACCCTCCCCAAGATGGTGCACAATCTGATATAGGCTATACATATACATTCCTATTAAACATATTTTCACATTAGTGATGTTGTAAGTAAGAATTAGAACCAATAGGAAGAACCATCAGAAAGAAGAAACAAAACTCAACAGAAGAAAAAAAAATAGCACATCGTATACTTCGATCTGCACTCAAACTCCATAGTTCTTTCTTTGGATGTGGATGGCATTTTCTATCACGAGGCCTTTGGAGATGTCTTTGATCCTTGTATTGCTGGGAAGGCTTAAGTGTATCAGTATCACTCATTGCACAATTGGCTGTTATTGTATGAAAAGAGTCTTCTAATACTTTGATTATTTTGTTCCTACAATAACATGTGTCTTACATGAAATTATCTGCTACTAAGTGTTGAAGTCTTATCAATCTGTTCACTAAATCTGTAGGTAACCTAGACTGAAGAGAATATATTTGTTAGTTTGTCTTAGCTGTTAGGGCTAGCTTTTCTTAAAGAAGGGAGCTTACACCAACAATCTAACTGAAATTAAATCAAAGTCATCAATACTAACTGATTTACATGGTATTCCTTTTCAGTCCACCACCTCATCCCACCACTGGTGTTTCCTGCACATGGGCCCCAGGCTAGCCTCCACCCCTGTGTTACAGATCTTGCCTTTCAGCCTCTTAAGTTCTTTTGGGCTTGGAAGAATGTCTCAACCTGATCTTTCATTGCCTCTGCCAGTTGAGAATTCGATGTGAGGCATTATTTTAAAGTTGTTTGATGAGGAATGTTGAGAGAGGTTGGCTTGGTGCTTCCTCTACTCAGGCTTCTAGCTAATAACTTCTGGAATTGAAGGTAGAGGATGGGACAGAGGAAGGGTTAGGATTAAGGGAACAGCACTCCCTAGAAAGTTTTGTTTCAGCTTGCCTCCCAGAACTAAATGGGCTTGCTCTTTTTTCCTCCTTTCCATTTTTCCTCACCTTGGAGTCACCAAATTAGACATTGCTGTTGGACAACAACACTCCTTACCTGGACACAGAAAGAGGAAGTGGGGATTGGCAATGAGGCTATTTTGTATTAGAATGGAAGGAACTTGGATTTGGAGTCAAAAAGGCCTGGGTTCAAATTCTGCCTCTCTATTGATGACCTGTGGAAATAACCCTAAGCAAGTCACTTAAGGCCTCTGAGCTTCAGTTCCCAGATCTGTAAAATGAAAAGGTTTCATTACACAGCGTCTCTGAGATCCCTTTCAGCACCAAATCTATATTCCTACATGTGTCTTTAAGCAAATCACTTCTCTCTGGGCATCAGTTTCCTCATCTATAAATTGAGTAGGTTGGATAGATAACCTCTGATATCCCTTGAGGCTATCTAAAATCTTGTGCATGCCCTTGGGCAAATCACCTCAGTAAGTTGAGGGCATTGGACTAGATGGTCTCTGAGGTTCCTCCCATCTCTAGATGTAGAGTCATATCATCCTGTGGGCCCAGTGACGGCCTTAAAGGAATGACTGGGAAGAGAGAGAACTAAGGCCACAGACAAACACCACACATTTGAGAATGTTGGTAGTGCCTGAAAGGAGAAAGTTGGCTTTGTTCAGAATAGAGTGTATCAGTTGGAGAGGGAGGGAGAACATGGTTTAGGGGCAGTGAAGTGAATGAAAAGCCTGCGAGACACAGTTTCTGGATTACTAATAATCAATTTATTAAATAGGCTAGCTTATAATCAATAAAGTCATGGTCAGTGGTCTCTTTCCATAACCAAAGGGCAAACTGTGGAGAGGACTGAATACTTAAATACTTTGGAAAAGGAGTTGCCCCTGACAGGTGAAAATCAGCCCTGATTGGTGAACAATTAATGAGGGGGTGGGTGTATTCATGAGGAGATGGGCTAAAAGTCTTCAGCTCCTCCTGTTGAGAACATGGCTTGATCATGAGACTGAGCAACCTCTAGCAATGTGGACAGAGGAATCCATCTCTACCCAGACCACCCTGGTTGGTTTTCTCCTTCCTGAGCTGTCACCCTGAATCACAATGGGGGCTGCAAGGGCATAGATTTCATGCACTAGGGCTGGAATTCTCTTAGATGATGCTCTGTTTACAGTGGAAACAGAAGTAAAATCTTCTAGTTGGTTGGGGTCCTGCCCAGGATCAAGGAGCATGTTGCCTGGGGATTTGAAAATCTCATTTAACAGCAATGTCCTTCAGAGCCTGAGTGACTTACAGGGGTTGGTCCCTGAATGAGGAAATAGAGAGAAAAAGCCTCAATCCTAATTTAATAATTGGTTATTAATATAATAGAGAAAAAAATCACTTCTCTCAGTAAGAAAAAACGTTTGGAAGTAGAAAAGCCAGTTTGGAATTGCAGCTGTACTACTGAGGATAATTTCAGCTGTAGCCTCACTCTCTGCTTTTGTATAGTCACAGGGTTACTGGTTTTCTTTTCTTTTCTTTTCTTTTTTTACTAGCCCTGGACAGGCCAGTTCGGTGGTGCAATGGATGGAACACTGGGCTTGGAGCCAGGAAGATCTGGGTTCAGTTCTGAGCCTAGGTACTTACTAGGTATGTGACCCTAGGCAAGTCACACTAGCCTCATTTGCCTTAGTTCCTCATCTGAAAAATGGGAACACACAGGAGAAGGAAACAGCAAACCTCTCTAATATCTTTGCTAAGAAAACCCCATGGATAAAAGTCTACAGCATCACGTAAAGTCAGCCATCACTGAATGACTGAACAAGAAGCCCTGGGCAACTGAGCAAATATTTACCTGAATTCCTGATTTCACACTGGTGAAGTCTTATTTAAACTTGATGTTTCTTTCATAAATTTCCTTGAAAATAAAGATCAGGGTTTGTTTGGGTTTTTTGTATTTTTTTCCTCACACTTTTTTAACCCCTTTGGTTGGACCACATTTAAATTTTATCCACCTAACCACATTTGAGGGTAAAATCAGCTCGGTGGTGTCACTAGTGCTATGAAGTCTTATCCTGTATCAGATGACTTTTGATATGATGGAGGGTTCATAGATAATTTTAATGTTGATGATTTAGTCTGAATTCATATTGATCCTGAAGGAATTGAGTACTCTGTTCATTTCATAAATTTAGGATTTTATTAAGCTTAGATTCTTATAAGCCAATAGCTTACTAATGTTCAGACTCCTTAAGAGTCTGCCCAATATGACAGATGTTCTAATAAACCTTGTCTTTGACTGAAAGAAGGCTTGGGTCGAATTCTTTTGGGCAGGACCTCCGTGTTGTGATTTTGGGGTCCCTGAACCCCCAAACTGCATCATTTTGGTGGCCCCGTGCGGGGAAACGGCCTAACCCCAAGTTCTTCTCCAGCCAAGACTGGAAGGTATGTAAGCCCCACCCCCCTCCTCTCCCTTCTTGCTCTGCAGTTGGTGTGACTCTCCAAGCACCAAGGCTTGGAGGTGCTTTTCTGGCAGATAGTTACGAGGTTGTCTTGTACTCGGCCTGATGCTCTCAGGCTCTCGGTCCACTGGGTGGGTTCAAGGCCATGGACCTGGGGGTACACCTTTCACAGCATAGAGGACAAGGACAGATGCCCTATCAGGAAATGTATGCTCAATTCTGTTAATTCCCTAGGCGCTAGGGAATTGGGGAAAACTGCAGTGGCTTTTTGGGTCCCTGAGGCTTACTTACTCCCTTCCCTCTGTACCTCTGAATCCTCCTTCGTGGAGGTTACAGAGAAAGTTAGAACAGCTAAAAATATCTTGGCAGATTCTGGAGGTTTTGTGGCTGATCATTAAGGAGTTTTGAAACACCTGTACAACCTGGTCACTTCCTTCCCTTGAGTCAAGAGGGTATCTGTTAACCCCTCTCAGAGCAGAAGAGAGTTTCACCCTTAACCCCTCACCTTTGATTTCACCCTTCCCCACCTGGGACAGGAAGGAGGGGGGGGGCTGCAGCTACAGTGTGGGCCCCCATGGCCATGGCCTTGGGCCCTAGGGCAACCTTTGCCTGGAAGCATCACCCAGGTTCAGCATAGCCTGCTCAAGGTAATGAAGCTAGCCTTCAAACTCGGGTAAGCACACTCTTTTAAATTTGTAGTTTTAACTGTTAATGATGAGATGTTGATTCCCTGTGTAAAGTAATTTGAAAGTGCATTTAACAAAACTGCAGCTTTTCATAATTTGGTTACTTCTAAAATAATTTAGCTATTGTTGTTTGTTGTTTTAATATGTCAACTAGCCAAAAAGCTCGTTTGGGTTATGTATGGCTTGCTGAGAATTTGCAAGTGTATAGACATCTCTAATGATTGGCTTTTTACACCAGGACAAATTTAAGTTTGAGATGTAAATCCTGGAAAAGTTTTTCCTAAACTGTGATTAGTGAAACTTGTTGTTTGCAATAAAAGCTGGTGGGATTTATTTTAAGTTGTCTGATGGATTGTAATAATCCATCAATAATCAATAATCTACCATCTGAGCTACTTAGAGAGAATGTGATCCTGGTGGGGAGTCAGCATGGGGGGGGGAGCTCAGAGGACGATTTTAGCCTCAGTCTAAGATGAGATCCTCCTGGCTCAGTTTCCTCATTATGTTCTTTGAAAGGGCATGTTACCTACCTGGCTATTCCTGAATCTGGCTATGAGGTGGATTTGATACTGCATGGTTGGAAATCTGAATGATCTAAATCCAAACAGAACTAAGGATGTTTTATTCTCTCAAAGTTGGGCCCTAAATCTAGTCTCTGTGTTAGATCTGGGCCCTGCACTCTTTTCTGTCAGATTTGTGTTGTCCAGACTAGAGGTCATTCACCTACAGTTGGTAGCAAACAGCGGGTACCGGCCAATGTCCCCCCATCGTTCCCAGGATGCAGCCTGGGCTCGGTTCCAGTCAACCTCCTCTTTGGGACCCCCTCAAGGCAGGGACAGGTCTATGCCCCTTGCCAGCAGGAAGCAGTTTCAGAAGCCGAGATCTTCACCCCTTGCCCCAAAAGAATTTGGGTCCCATTTGTTTGAGGGGGGGAATGATGAGGATGGGATCTAGACCCCAAAAAGGAAAAACTCTGGACTTTCCCACATGGCCAGATCTCTGATGTTCCCTGAGGCTATAATCCCACCCTTAATCCTATCTAGGCTCCATTCTCCCTTGGCCACCCCAGGAGTTCTATTACCCCATAGACTACTTGGCCACTCCTAGATCCCTCCCATAGTCTTTCTGTATATAAGGTCCATCTTGTCTCCATTAAGATGCTTAGATTCCTAAAATCTAGCCCCTGCTTAGATTCTTATAATCTAGACAATAAGCCAATAGCTTACTAATGTTCAGACTCCTTAAGAGTCTGCCGGATGTTCTAATAAACCTGTCTTTGGCTAAAAAAAAAATTATTAAAAGCCTACTGTGTGCCACACTCTGCTCTGGGTGCTAGGAATCCACAGATAAAAAGGAAACAGGCCCTGCCCTCAGAGAAAAGCACATCCTATTGATGGAGACCAACCCTATTTGAGTAATACAAAACTAAAGTAGCCTGGCCCTTAAAAAGTGGAAGAAGATAAGTCTCACTATTCCTTTCCAGAGGTGAAAGGTGCACAGGGATGGCAGCATGAAATTACTTCCAGATATTTTCAGTGTATTAATTCATTTTACTGAATTTTTCAAAAATATTTTTCTTCTGTTGCATGGCTCACTGTATACTTTTGTAGTTCAGCCATTTTTCGTTCACATCATACTCTTTGTGCTCCTGTTGGGGTCTACTTACTAGAGTGATTTGCCATTTCCTTCTCCAGATCATTTAACAGATAAGGAAACTGAGGCAAACAGGATTATGTGACTTGCCTAGGTGACATAGCTAGTAAGTTTCTGAGGATAGATTTGAAGTCAGCTCTTGCTAACTCCGGGCCCACAGCTCTATCCACTGAGACACCTAGCTGCCCTAATCTGTGTACAGTCAGGCACTATAGACATATGAACAGTCTATTGGTCAAGTCTCTTAGAGGAAGTGGCAGGGGGCCAGAAGGCTCAGCTCTGATGGGGTCCCTTCTTTCCTGCATCACTGACTGATAACTTCTTTGCCACTGTCTCATCCTGGCCCCTGCCCCTCTTGCCTACTAACCTCTTTCAGACTCAGTTTCCTCATCTCTAAAAGGGGAATGATGCTGGCATTTCCTACCTAACAGAGCTTTTGTAAGGAAAGTGCTTTATCCATCTCTGAGTTGTGTAGAAATATGAGTTGTTCTATCATTAGTTTTGTCTCAAAGGATCTCTGTCCCAGGAATAGAAGAGAAAGGAGAGGGAGGCACCTAAGAGGAAGCCTGTGCCAGGATCAGGAATGCCCAAAAAGTGAGTACCCCAAGTGCAGCAAATACTAGAGTATACTAGGCATGAGGGGAGACTGAGCCCTGGGATGGATAGCTTTCCCAGGGAGGTGGGAAAGGAAGCCTGGAGTCTGGGCCAGGCAGAGAGAGGCAGGGGCAGGTGGGAATTGGAGCAAGAGAGGTGAGAGGGATTTCTCATACCACTCAAAGGAATGGAGCCAGAGAGCAAGCACATGGAGAAAAAAGCCTGCCCCAACCAGAGGGGAGACACTGGTGCTACCTCAAGGCCCCTGGGGACCTGCAACATGATTAAGAAAGGTGAGAACTGAGAAAAGTACATTGGATTTGGCATCTGAGAGATGGTTAGCAACATTAGTGAGAGAAGTTTCAGTTGACTGATGAGGGCAGAAGGTCAACTGTAGAGAGTTAAGAAGAGAGAGGAAAGCAAATAGAGGTGACTATTGTTAATGCTCTTTTCAAGGAGTTTAGCCACAGAAGGGAGGCTATATATCGGATGATAATGATAGGGGATGGATGAATCCAGAGAGAGAATCTTTTACGGATGTGGGAGACATAGACATGTTTGTGGGCAGGGTTAAGCAGCCATACACAGGGAGATACTGAAATGAGACAATGGGGATGATGGAGGGCACAGTCTGCTGGAGGAAAGGCCTGGAAGGGGATCCCTTGTGCAGGTAAAGAGGGGTTTGGCTCAGTAAGGAGTAAACACATCTCTATGTGTGAGACAGGGCTGGGGGAGGAGACAGGGGCAGAAGGCATCAGTGATGTGAGAGGAAGAGGAGGGGAGAAGAAGGAGCTCTAGGGGAATGACCTCAATATTTTCAGTAAGATATGAGGCAAGGTTCTCAGCTGAGAGGGTGGGTGGGTATGAGAAGGAGCCATTGGAGGTTTGAGGAGGGATGACAATTTTGTGAGGAGCCAATGTGGTGAGTGGGATAGTGAGTTAATTAGAGAAGTGTAAAATGATTGCCATGGGGCTCCAGGAGTAGCTTTGTCACATTTTGGGGGAAAGTAAATGCTGTTTCGTAGGGAAGGAAGAGGCATGGATGGAACCCATGTTGAAGAGAAATTCTGGTACACATTCATGCTATCACACAGGACTTGGAATTGAAAGTTAAAACTACCTGGGTGAATTTTGCACCAACCCTTTACCAATTTACTGTCAATGGTTTTGAGACTGGGAAAAAGAAGTGAAATAGCATTTTGGGCCATGCCTTTCATTTTTCTGATAACAAAGCAAAGCAGCTCTAGAAAGAAT